TAATCTAATATCGGTCATGCTGACATAGCGATTTTTAATGTATGGGTGTGAACTCATGTGACATGTAATAAAAACCTTTAACCACAACGAATATCTAGAAATATTTGTCCGGGTTTTTGAAAAACAAAGCGAAATCGGTTGAAAACTATGGGGTGGTTTTTGTTTTCAGTGGTATTGCTAAAAACTGTCAATATAACACTTGACCACACGTTTTTAGAAAGATGCAATTCCAAATTAATTATTATAATTTATGTAAATCATTTCATTGGGCCTGAAAAGTGAAAGTTGTTGTTTCAGTGATGTAGTTTGATTAAATAGAAAAAAAATCATAGAATGATCTAAAACAAAATAATTCCTATTCTTTTTCCAATTACTTTATTAATCCTATAATGATGCCATTGATCAACAAAAGCTTGGATTTTTATTTTTTAAAAATTTGAAAAAATAACATCAGTTTAAGGCCTCATTTGAACATTTCAATTTTTTAATTTCGTCATGCTCCTGAAGGACAACTTGATCAGAACTGTGTGACTAGGTATGGTTCCACCCACAAGCAAAAATTTGGACATAAACATTTCAAGACACTCTTTGTGACACTCATATATTTAATTTTTGGCCAGTTTTTCTATCATTTTGTTTAGACAAATTTCAGACAAACTGCTGAAACATACCTAGGGTAAATTTACACCAACAAACCATAGAAAATCGTAGTTGTATTATTATTGTATCTTGGCCTTGAAAATGTGATGCCATTGCCCAAAAAAGTCTAGTTCTATAAAATACTGAAAAATTTCAGATGTTTCCATTTTTGACAATATATTCCTCAGAAACGTCTTGCCAGTGATGTTTATGGATTTTGAAGTGCTCACTACTTAAACTAGGCATTCTTTTGGTACTGTAGTCCTTCGAAAGGATACCTAACAGCACAGGACTTAAGCCACTGTTCAAAACCCGAACTAGCCCTGTATCACTGCCGTTTTCAATAACACAAGGCTTCTAAATATAATAGAGTCAAAATTTTAACCGGCAGTTATATACTTCACTTAATCATAAATAAATATGATAAAACAAACAAACAAAAACAAAATGGATCAAAATCTGTCAGCAAATTTAGTAAAACCTACATACAGACATGCATGACCTTACCATGCAAATGAAGAAGACCTACATCACCCAAGAAGTCTGTTTGCGTGATTGATGGAAATGGAAAACACAAAAAAATTTACTGCTAGTTAAAATTTTGACTTTTTACAAGTGAATGTGAAAATGGTCTTCTGGCCCTTTACTCCACACTGATATCATACCATATTGATAGTACTCTCCCCCATCCCTACGCCCTCCCCAAACCCATCTCCTGCCTCGGCTGGGGCATTAAAGCACCATTTACTGAGGAGTGTTCAGCGCAGACTGAAAAGTATATTGTCCTCAAATCTTTCCTTGATTTTTCAAATTAACACTCCATCTTTGAGTCACTTTGATCTGGTATTTTGTCATCCAAACAAAAAAAACAAGGAGTTTTCAAGCACTTTCAGTATAAAAAATATTCTTTTCAAGGGCTCTTCAAGCACCCTTGAAATCTAAAATTATTATAAGTGCCTGGTTCCTTGAAAGATGGTTATTAGCAAGGTTAAGCCAACTATTAAGTGTGACTTCCTTGTCTACTAAATTGTAACAAGAGCTTATAAAATATTTTTGAGTCTTTATTCCAACATTAAGTTATGATAGCACAAACTGATACTTCAAATAAACTTTGGAAAGGTACACACAATATTGTGGATTAAAATTCTAATCCTTGGTCATAGCACTAATCAGCCTTTCAGGAACCACATGTCTTGACCTTTTTAAGGCACCAACCCTGGGACTCCATGTAACTTGTCCAGACCAATCTAGCATGGTTCAAGCTTTATTTCATCTCTAAAAGATAGTACTCTAAAACAGGCAGACAGGCAGTCATTTTAACTGCAAAAAATATCAATGAAATTCCTTTTTTTCTGCTTTCTTAATTTATTTCGTTCATTCACGGCCCCAAGCCATCCCTCTATGGGTAAAATGAGTAGCATTCCCTCTTCAACATCGTAAGTTGTATAAAAATCTGCAATTTACACTAATAAACTAGGCAAAAATCCCTGCCCCCAAGAAGAGGGTCAATCCTCCCTTACTTAGAAAACCAGGGCATTTGAGTCCAACATCCAACTGCCAAATGTATCTGAACTCCAAAGGCAGAGAATGGATCTTCTTTAGTACTTTGGGAGCAAGTGGACATTATGGACAGTTCTTATCATAGAGAGGTTATAGGTTTGTTTACATAATTATTGGAAAGTACACTTAGTTTATCCAGCTAGTCTACAGGCAACAGTCAAAATTTTATAATATTAGTTTCAAACAAATAATCGCAAATAGACAGTAACAGAATTTAAAAACACCCAACTGGCAAGAGAAAACCAGTTGGCTATTTATGAGTATGGCCGAGGTTTTAAACTCCAGACAACAAAAATTTAATCCAGGAAAATTTGAGAACAAATCCAGAAAGTGCCCAGACCAGGACTTGAACCCAGAGCCGCCAGATTGCGAGTAAGACATGCTGAACACCAGCCTCCTCCGTAACTCAGGGTCAAAATATTGCTTCAATATTATTGATGCCAAACATTGTAAGAATGTTAGTGTTGATCCATTAGAGAGCAAGGCATGGGGGAAAACTGAGAGAAAACAAGATGATCTAGAAGTTCTAATCTAAATGGGTTTCTAATAAAAATACAAGAGGGTTAGCTTGAAAAGAAAAAATTCTTGACAAAACACACAATAGTCATGGTAAAGCAAAAAAAAAAAATTTTGCCTTAAAATAGTTTGTAGGTACTTATTTTTCTTGGTAGGGGGCTAGGGAAAGAGGCTGAGGGGATGGGGAAGATTTGGCAGTAGAAGGAGATGAATATCTGAAACCTTTGCGTGATGACTACCAAGATCTCCCGCATGAATTTCCTAAATTTTATGGAGGCATTATATAAATTAGGTGTGAGTTTAGGATGGTTTTGTTTTATTTCCTCTCTAAGTGCAAATTTTGTCTCCAATCCATTCATTTTTTAACCAAAATTTCTGAAAATGTTGGAATTAACAACATCACTGATAGTTCATCAAGGAATCACACAAAATTTGTTTGAATAATAAAAGATATTTTGTTTTGCCACCCTATCCAAGCAGGATTTGAGTTAGAGCTGTGTATTATTATGCTCACTGGTCAAACTAAAGATTCTCCCCTACAAGGCTCATAAGTACAAAGACTTGTACAGCATAATAAACAATACTAAAGCAAAGTAATATTCAGTAGCTCTCATCTGAATTTCAATTATGGATGTGTTATTCTGGGACATAAGGTTTCAGATGGCTCAAAGTTTACCTTAGCCCTAAAAAATCTTCACTTTCTCATCTTCACACTTATGGTACTCTCAAAAAACGTTATGCTTAAACAGAGTCTTCTGGCTCCACCCTTCATATCAGCAGAGAAATAAAAAACTTAACCAACAATGGAGGACAACAGAACTTGGGACTGTGTGAAAAAGTCCTTGCAAGCAATAATTCCGTAGGATTCTACTCCTAAGGACAGTTTTGTGTTCAGCTTTGGGTTCATCCCATCGTTCCCCCCCCCCACTTCCCCTAGCAATGTTGTGGCCAAAAAAAAGCACTCAGTTTCACCCAATTTGCTCCAAATTCAACTTTGGGGTGGGAGGGGAAGGGTCGCTATAGTTTTAGTAATATCACTGGAATGGTCCCAACACTTTTGACCTCCATTGAAGGTTTGAACTGTGGTGGTGTGGTGGTGTGGTAGTCAATCTATGGATTTTTTTTTTCTACAGGAGCTGGAGTTCAAACTGAAAAGAACAAGGAATTGACGGGTTGATTAATGTTTAGGGTGAATCCTTGGTACTTCTCATGCAATGCTGGTAGTTGCCACCCTTGGTTTGGAAAGCAAAAGAGGATTGGGAGAGAAAGAAAACTATGGCCAATGGAGTGGTACGTTGTTAACCTAACCAAGATGCCCAAAGAAAGCAAGTGTACTGTAAGCTACAAAGAAATCTCTTTAACCCTTTAAGCCCTAAGAGTGACCAGCATCAAATTTCTCCTTGTAAACACGATGCTTTGTAAAACAGAGTGGTCATGAGAATTATGGACATGATCACACAAGATGAATTTCCCAGATATTTTATCAACTTCTCCCCACTACTTCTGAAAAAAATGAATAGGGGCAACAAATGAGAATTCAAATTTTGATCTTAAGGTTTAAAGGGTTTAAGCTCCGTATGATGGATCCCCTCCCCCTTAAATGGACACCTAGAGTTAGTCCCTGCTGTTGCTTGTTCATGAATATTATAAAGTGAACAAATCTACTAGATGGATGCTTAGTGCTGGTGTCTTCAAGAGGGTAATATTGTATTCCTTAGCCATTAATAACAGCCCTGATAGTTGTACAAAATTCACATGCAAATTATGTCAAATGAGAGGATGCTTGCAGTATTAACAGCTGAGAGGTGGAAACCACTACAATGAGCAATTCAAAACACAACAAAAAATTGAAGGGTAATAGTAATAATATTACAGTTTTAACTGTTAGTCAAGTGACACTCTACATGCAACACACTTAAGCTTTTTTATTATAAATTATTATGCGTCAACCAAAATGTAATGTTATACAAGTTCCTATTTAAGCTCTCTGGGTGAAAAAGCTAATGACTCAAGGAAACACAGCATAAATACTGCAAACTATGATTTGACAAAACTAGTACTCACAATGATGTACTCTTAAAATTAATGAGGAGTCAAAAACCATAATTTATATAAAATAAGGCTAAAGTGTGTGCCTATGTGTAATAGAACAACCCACTAAGTTGTTAAAATACACTTGCAACAGAGACAAAGGTCAAAATAACATAACTATTAAGTAAGAAACAGTTGGTTTGGACATCTTATACATTTACATTTGAATACAAAGCTTCATCATGTTCCACTGGTTATTTCTCTTCGCACCACTCATTTTCCTTTCGAACCTATCAAGGAAAATACAGAAAAGATATGGCATCAGGAAAAGATTTCTTCAAATAACACCAACTTTCTTGCCATGACTGAAACTTTAGTCCACAAGATACACCCCTACCTAAAGTAGATGTCACCTGTACCCAAGTTAAACTAGAATGTCCTTGGTCCTAACTTGGATATGAATTACCGGTATTAGGGCTGGGGTTACAGGGCAGTCACTAAGATTTCAAGTTCCTGGTATGTCACTGCAATTAGCAGGAGGGGAATCAAACAGCTAGGAAGCTTTTTGGGTTCTATTTTCTTTTTTTTCCATGAAAGTAACCAGGGATCATTCACATACTAGCTGGGGAAAACCCCTGGCCCCTGGTCCTTAGTGATAGTGCTGCTAGGGAACAAAAACATTTCAGAATCAAACTACAGTGAAACCTCCTGTAAGTCAACACCCAAAAAAGATTTTATTGTTCAGTTACTCGAGGAGGTGATCCCTTTCAAGACTAGAACAAGCAAAGGTCTTCACTGAGTAAAGGTCCCAAAGCATCAGCCAGTCTACTTTTTTAGGGTTCTCAAAATTAAAATCCCTGATGGAACACTTGGCTGATTTTGCATTTTGTGCATTTCAATCTGTTCTACTGCCCTATATGTAAATTTTCTCTCTTCAGCTTTTCTGGGGACCCCTGCTACTTGAACCATGAATAACAATTAACCCACCTGTTCTTCTTCTTCTGGAGTAAAGTCATTCTTGATATTAAATGTCTTCCTTATTTCTTCAGGAGTTTTACCTGTTTATTGGTTAATACACAGTGGTGGATTCAATTCAAATTGAATTTAGTTACTTGCATACATTCAGGAATGCCAGTCACTTGAGAAGAAAAAATCCCTAACTTTATTTTCCAATTTGGAGCATGAAAATCAACCAACTGCAAAATCTCTTTATTTACTATGTTTTTTTTTGTTTTTGTTTTTGTTTTTGTTTGGCGGGGGGGGGGGGGGGTTTAAAGGTTTGCCCTTCAATTTTTTCTTGGTCTAATTTGGGTGTAAAATTTGTTACAGCGGGTCCCTTCCCTTTTTTTGGGTCATTTATAAGCACAAAAAACACACACCCCCCCCCCCCCCCCCCCCCTTTCGATTTGTTTTTTTTCTGTTTTTTTTTTTTTCTTTTTTTTATTTTGATTTTTTTCTGTTTTTTAAGACACTCTGTTTGATTTTTTTCATTTTTTTTTTATATTATTTTTAATTATAATATAGGATTATTACTTAAAAAAAAAAAATTCTTGTTTTTATTTTTTCTTATAAAACAAAAAAAACAAAATCATATATCTTTTTTTTTTTTTTTTTTTTTTTTTTTTTTTTTTTTTTTTTTTTTTTTTGGGGGGGGGGGGGGGGGGGAGTTAAAATGTTCCCTGTAACTTTTTCCTGGTCTACAATTGGTGTTAAAATTGTTCAGACAGTGCACTCAACTCTATTAGGGTAACTTTAGAGAACAAAACAACCCACACCCCTCCCTCCTCCCCTCCATTTGAAGTTGGTTGTTTCTTGTTTTCTACGGGTAGCACGAACAACGACACATCATTCAGTGGAGGGGATGGGAGAGGGAAAGCTTAAAACGCAATCCAGCAGGAAATTGAGCAATTTTAATTTTCAGTGGACAAAAACCTTGTACCAGAATAATTTAAACAATATCACATTCTTTTTTATATTTTTCAAGGGCTATAGATATAATAATTAGTTGTCTGTAATAACACCAAAGACTATTTCTCATGGGACCTCAAGAAAATATAAGTCAAATTTCACAAAAATTGTGAAAACACAGGTAAAATTCGGAAAATTTCATGTGTAAGATGTCATTTTGTAAAATTTGACGATACTAGGCAAAACAGTTCTGGTTGTCCCTTACTTTTATACTTGACCAAAACAACCCTTATAGCAGTACTCAAATAAATAGACCGGCCACTGAGAGTGTAAATATACAACTAAGGCGGATGTTGGCAAAAAATTTAAGACTAATTTTGAAACCTAAATACAACTTGTGTTTATAGATATGACGTACAGAAGATGAATGTAAACTTATTCTCAATATGATTTACACTAAATCAAATCAATCAATCAATTTTTTGTCCTATTGCATCTTGGTCTTTCAACAAGAATTTGCTCAGGATTCAAGATATACATTTTAAATATCTTAGGTTATGTCTTTGAGGTATTACAAGGTGTATTTTGGGAATAAAATACAGCAAACACCTGCATATAAGAACCTGTGAATTAATTAAGAACTTCCTGGAACAAAATTGCCACTATAATGCACAAAAATACAAGAACCTGTTTAGCCTGTTCCAGGGGTTTAGATAGTGGGGAGCAAGTTAAATCGAAGGCGGCCAGCACAGAAAGAAACATGAGGGGAAAAAAACGAGGGGAGACTGTGTCCCGCCCTATTTTTTCCCTCGTCAATTTTTCGCTGGCGCCCTAATTTTTTGCCTGCTCCCCACCATCCGAACGCCTGGAACAGGCTAGAACCTGTTTAGCCAAGCAAGATCAGGCAGGTGCTTATATTTGGGTCATTATGATAAACAATTTAACCAAGGAATGTAATTTTGAGATTGTAAATTTAAGTGTAACAAGAAAATTCTGTACCAAACTGTATGTAAATTCAGCAATAAGTTTTGTTAGGGTATTATAATAACACAATTGTGAATAAATACTGTATTTTTAATGACCAAACCCAAGTTTATTTATTTTTCTGCTAAACAACAATCTCTTACCTCCTTCATAAAAATTAAGAACCCAATTAAGAACCTACTTAGCCTAAATTGCTAATAAGTACTCCAAAATACAAGAACCTATTTTGCCATACTTCAAAAAAGTAAGTTCTTATATGTGGGTTTTTACTGCAGTACACTTTTAATTTTGACTTAGGGGTGGAGACGGCTGACATTTCAAACTAATGGGGGCACAGACTGAACTCAAAAAGCATTAGAATAGAAGAATACCTTTGATCATGTTGGCAACTGTTTTACATGTCACATCTAGAAGTCCTTTGATATCAAGGTAGTTTGCAGCCTGCAATGAAAGAACAGGTCAAACGACTGAAAAAATATTATTTTAATGCATATGTTGTGGTCAATTTTCATCTCAGTTAAGTTTTGTTTTTTTTTTGTTTTGGGGTAGGGTAATGTAAGCTAATGAAATTGAAACAAAGGAAAAATAAAAATTACCTGAGATAAAAAATTAACTGCAACTCATACACTGTAATTAAAAGGATAGCTCAGTTGCTAATTTTCCAATTACAGCGAGATCATAAAACATTTGAATGAGATATTATACATGCTCCAATTTTTATAATTCACCTCCTTTACACTCTCTGTTCAGGTATTAAGCCTTGAGATGTGGCATGTGGCTCCAAATTCAATAGCATCTCCTTTTTTTAGGCTTTCATATTTTATTTCTGGTGACCATATCAAAACTGTAGGTTCCCAAAAAATTAAGCTCAGACTAGCACTGACAGTTCTATTAATACTCACAAGAATTAACTCAAAAAGTGTTCCCTGGTCGACTTTGAGGAATTCTTGATCCCAAGGATCGATGTCATCTGTTCTTTTCTCTTTGTTTTCATCATCGTCTGGTGGTGGTGGGTCATCCTTGTGTTTCTGAGCCCACTTGATCACCTACAAAATAACAAAAAAGCTGATTACTTACAGTGCAAGCTTTTAACAAGGGCTGCCACTTTGACTGTCCTTACTTGAACAGCACAGGGCAAGATGAAAATTAGGGAGCTTAAGTACAGGCGTTTTTGAGCCACACACGTCAACAGGAAGTAAGGCTGTGTCCACTTTTTTATAAGCCTTGATGCTAACACTCTTATGGAGACAATTTGCCCAAAACTTTAAATCACAGTCTAAGTAATTTACCATGGTGCTATGTGTTTGGTCTGTAGTTCTACCTTAGAGTCTGTGAATGAGGTTCTATGTTATGGCCATTCAAATGAAACCTCTTAAGCAGTACTTTCATACGGTACCATCTATTAGTGTGCAGTTCTAAATTTGGGTCTGTGGATGAAATCCTGTCTAACCATTCAAATGAAACCTCTTCAACACTAACAAATGCAAGGCTCCATATAAAAAGGCTGTATCTATGATGCACTGTATTTACCTTGGCAAGAATGGCTGCATTGACATTGGGAAGTGGGACTGGTTCGTCATCATCTTCATCCATGCCAAGATCTAAAAATTAAAGCATGGTAATATGGGTCAAACCATGAAGACCTTAAGGTTGAGTAAACAGCCTGCATTTTAATCTCACAGCTTTCTGTGGCATCATTTTTTCCCTTGCGCATAACCTTGTACAACTTTTTCCTATCGACTCTCTAAGATTTAAACTGTCAAAAAAGAAGCACCTTGAGATGGTCCTGACTGTTGTTCAGTCAAGTTTTAACAATCTCTAAAAGGAGAATGAAATCCAAGCAAAAATAAATACCAACTGTCAATCATAATTCACTGTACATAGCTAGTAATTTTCACCCACATCAAACTGTCATTATTTTGCTCATGCACTTACTTGAGTTGTTAATATAGAGCGAAGTTCCCCTTAAAGTTACGAAAGCCAATTACTATTTTTAAAAAAATGAAATAATGTCCTGATGTCTTATGCCTATTTATGATAACACAGACAACATTAATTCTCCAATATGTTTATAGATATGAAACTGTGTAATAAATACTAAATACAATGTTATGTAAGTGTAGAGTTGTGATGATCATCTCTGCATTTATTTCTTCACCGTGCAGTTCAAAGATATAAATAAAAATAAATAAATAAAATAAATAACGATTTGCAGGTAGCATATCCACATAGTGGTTCTTCATCTACCTGATTGGTCGAATTGGAATTTGGAAATGTTGGTTTTTGAGGAGAGGGGAAAACCGGAGTACCCAGAGAAAAACCTCTCAGAGCAAGGGAGAGAACCAACAACAAACTCAACCCACATATGGCGTCCACGCCAGGAGTTGAACCCGGGCCACATTGGTGGGAGGCGAGTGCTCTCACCACTGCACCACCCTTGCTCCCCAAATTCATCATTTCACAATGTTATGTGTAATCACAAAAAGGGCTTCTCCTTTGAACTCACCTTCAAGCATAGTTTTTATTGTGACAGAAGCTTTTGCCACTTCTACATCAACTTCATAAATTTCTCCATCTGAGCTTTGTAGTTTAATTTCTGGCATCTGAACCAAAAAAACCACAAACCATCAAACTGTTGGACAAAAAGAGGGGCCTGGAATATAGCCCCAAGTTACTCCCTTCCTTGCTAAGCATTTCACTCAGTGAAGCATTTGTCGAGCAATATTTTGCTCTTTCTGTATGGCCAGGTTGTTAAAAGCAGGGGTAGGATAACCCAAGGTTAGCACAATATTTCAGGGGCAGATCCAGAAAGTTTAGAAAGAGGTAACTGGGAGACTTGCCAGTTACAATACCATTTTATTCATTGGTTACAGAACTCTGACAGGATTTTTGTGTTCAAAGATTAAGGCTATAGAAGACACAATTTACTGAAATAAGTGACATGACTTAATTTAGTATGTTGAAACTGCCCATAAGTGAACTCCAATAACGCTACACTTTCATAAGGGGAGTGGTCACCTACAAGACGTTCCTGAGTGAGGGTTCCAACACCCCGCAAATTCTTGGTTTGCAACCACGTGACAAGGCCGCCATGTTGGGGGTCAATACAATAGGATTTTTTCTCGCAGAATTTACATAAAGATAGAGTTTAAATCCCAGAGGAGAGAAATGCTTTTGTTCTTGACCACCAACATCGCAGCCGTGACGTCACCTACAAACCAGTAATAGCCTGACTTCTGGCAGGATAGGTGTTATTGTCTCATTTGCATGGAAGCCCATAAAGCTAATCCAACCAGGCTAACTTCACACATGCTGGCAGAATTGGACATCACACCACACCTAGGACTACCTATGTCCCCTACTATATATCAACAGGATGTGTCGCTTAAAAGTCCTACAGATTTTGAATGAGCAAGGGTTGTGAGACCAAACCTGTTGTTCATTGTCCTTATCAAAAAAGACTCCTCAGTTATTTGAGGACCCTGAGTGTTGGTTTTGCCAGGATTGGAAAAGTGGCCTCCTGCTTAGAAGACTGACACTAATCCAACTCAGCTGTGGCAGTTTGAACCAAAGTGCTTAGAACATTCTGATGTTTTGGATGGCTGGTCCCTCATGAGGCACTCACTAAGGATCACAGTACTACACATTGTATGTGGATAAATTTAAATTTTCAATTTTACCACTGACTTAAATGCCACATATAGTAAAATGTACGTTCTCGAGACAATTCAAAGGCTACAAAAGCAGTCATATCCGAACCCACAGTTGCAGTGATTGCTTTTTACAGAGATAGTTGCGATGACAGTGAACACATAAAATATATGTAACTTTCTTTGCAACACTTTTATCCCTTCAAGCAGGTTAAAACTGAAAGAAGGAATTTAACTGTTTGCGGAAAATTGCAAAAAGTATTTTTATATGCTTACTGCACATTCAGCAGAGCATGATCCACGTAGAAAAACGACGCACAGCAAACACTAAAATGAACGTTAAGAGGATATAATAGAAAAAAAGAAATTACCTTACTCGTCCAAGTTTGGTTTAGTGTCTTTTTGAAGACTGTAACAGACCTAAATGAAGAAAATCCCACGTCAAAAAATCGCTCTCTATTTTGTGGCACCAACTTCGACAAACGACCGGGAGGAGAACTGTCCCAGAATTCCTCTAAAAAGCAATAATTGTCCGAGAAAAACTGGTAACAATGACGTTTTGTTGTGCTTACATGAAGGAATGCAAGATGACAACAAGAAAGTGGTCACTAAGCATGGTTAGTGGCTAATGACACACGCAAAAATGGAAACGTGGGTGAAAACGTGTAGTCTGTCTCGTGTCAAAGAATGAAAAGTTAATTTTCCTTACTTACTGGC